ACCAATATAGAAATTATCTAATAGATTATATTAGTCTTTATGCAGACTCTCAGATTCTCTTCCCTCCCTCCAGGACATCTACTTCACCCATCTCATCTGGAAAGCCTTCTGCATTACAGGTCACTTGACTTATCCGTCCAACAGCTTCTTCAGTTTGCTGCCACCAGGAAGGAGCCTGGAGAGCCTCCGGGCCAGAACCAGCAGACTGAGAGGCACCTTCGTTCATCAGGCTGTCAGGATGCTGTCAGGAACTCACTCCATGCTCTCCCACACACCAACTCCAGACCTGCATTCACCTCTTCCCTCTGAACCCCCAAAACATACAGCTCTGACCCACCACCATTGGCCTTTCAATGACTGCCCCACAAACTTGCCCACAATCACTATGATTGTGTTGCCACTGCTGTTTAAATAATTGTATAGTATTTTAATGTGTTGCACATAAGACTTTTATTTTTTTTTATTATTGTTATTGTTGTTATTATTATTATTATTATTATTATTATTATTATTATTATTACTATTATTATTATTATTATTATTTCTTTTGTATTTTTAATGTACACTGAGGGCCATGGGAGAATTGCAATTTCAAATTCCTGTGTATATCTGTATATATATGGTCTTTAACAATAAATTCAACTTTGACTTGACTTTGAGTTTGAAACTTAAATGTGAAAGGCTTCAGCCCTGACTGTAACTCTAACTCAGGTAAGCTCAGGTGGTGTATTAGACATTTCTTTTTTGCTTTTAGTTAGGTTTGGGCACCTGGCTGGGAATTGTTAATTGTTTGACTTAAAATAAATCCTTCACAATATTAACTAGAAGTCAAACTTCAAAAGTGAAAAAAAGGCTGGCAGTTCCCTGCCAATTCTGACCTGGCATCACACAATCAAAATTCCAGTAAAATAAAAAGCAACCCAATCACCAAGCTATTTTATAAGTAATAAACAGAAAATAAAACAATAATAAAAAAAAATAACTACCAGAAACCTCAAAGCACAGGCCGAGGGGGTGGTGTGGCAGCAATTTTTCACTTGATTTTTTCCTGGCTTCTGTTTGGCCACAGCAAATGTGGTACTCATATAAAATGTTGTGATATGGATAGGTAGTGTGAGTATTGTAATTTCACAAAACATATAATCATATGGAAGTGTATTTCTGTCAATACAGTTAATGCTTAAATTTAAAAAACAAACAAACAAACAAACAAACAAACAAACAAAAACAAACACTAGAATAGAACCAAATCAAACATGCTGATCTACCTTCTATGGTGACCCCTCAGAATAATCCCTCACAAAATATGTGGGTATTCTTAAACTTCAGTAGAAACTCAATTATTCAAGTACGATTTACAAATAAAGGACTACTCATAAGTGGCACTCATACATCTGTTTTCTCGAGTACCCCAGCCTGCCCACGGTTATTGTAAAAAATAAAAACAGCAAGAATTGTTTTAATGCAAACAGTCATTTAATTGCATCAAATATGAAAAACCCAGTCCATTATTATTCAACTGGTGGAACAAAATATGTTTCAATCCCTCCATTCCTGGTTATTTAGGCAGATTCTCAATTTAACAGCTGAAATGAATCTGCAAATATTTTCCCAAACAAAACATTTATTCACTTATCAGCATGCTCTTCAACAATTTATGGTCATTTCCATTATTAAAAATGTTAATACATTTTATTTCCTGCTAATGACCTTAGCTCAGAAGTAAAATATTTATACATACGTCCCCACTCTAAATAGCAAAACAGCCCAAGGTAGACCCTGTGGGGTATGCTGTCTATACAGTGACCAAGAGAAACCAAAATAAGTTCATGTTTACCATGGAAGGTGTCCGGAAAACATGTAATAAAACAACAATTATTTCTTACATAGACTAGCCTAATTTCCATGTAGTACTAATATCTTTACACTCATTTCCACAGTAAATTCAGTAAAGCAGACAAGGGTTTTTTTAATCACGTTGAACCACCTGATGTGGTTTTCTGTTAAATCTGAAGAAAAACTGAGTTTAAAAATTAACTGGAGTAACACAAATTTTAAAAATTAATAGCAAGATTGTTAAAGTTTAACACTAAACAGCCCGACGTCCTCTCTTGGTTGGCACGTTGGATGCTTGTCCTTGCTTTCTTTTTTGCTCCTGTTGTCCTGTTGTTAATATTAGAAAGAGGAAATACAATGGGTAAAATAAGTATTGCACATGTCAACAATTTTCTAAGTTAATATATTTCTAAACGTGCTGTTGTCATGAAATTCTCACCAGATGTCAGTAACAACCCATTAAAGTTATGTGTAATAAAGAGAAATGACAAACGAAAAGGTATTGAACACATGAACAAAGGAACAGGCAAAACAACCCTTTTAGTGTCTTTTCTTACTGTCCTTCTTCCCTGCTGTTTTTCTTTCCCTCCCCTTTTCTTGAACTTGTCTACGTCTTTCCCTTTTCTATCCCCTAGCCCTGTCTGTTCCAATTGTAATAACTGAAAAGTAAAAAAAATAAATAAATAATAAAGCTCAATTAAGTGGACCAGTGTGGCAAAGCCACAATGATCCACTTGTCTTGCATTTTAATTGGCCTTCAGACAATAATTCTGATTACTGCAGCGCCAAACGGGACAGGAATGAAAAAAAAAGCCATTTAGTGCAAATTAAAATCAGCTGGTTTAATCTCAACTGATGGCTTATAGAACCATGTTTCATTACTAAGGTGTCACACAGGAAACATCTAATGAAGGATGAAGCCAATGAGCAAACTCTACACCTTTGCAGCCTTGTTGTTGCAAAACATACTGATAACACTGGTTAAACCACTGAAGGTTCCAGTTCAGGATTTGAAGACTGGGTGTATGAAAGGATGGGACAAAATCACACCTGCACCCAATGCATGTGACGAGTTTATCCGTGCAGTAGGCATCTTGATGCCGTCATCACCAACAAAGGGTTTTGTTCAAAGTATGAAATAAAATTCAGTGAGCATGTTGAAAACATTTCCCTGTGTCATTATTAGACATAAATTATGGACATGTATACTTTGATTTCATTGGATGTGTGCATTGGATGGGCTGTTACTGACATCTGGTGAGAATTTTATGTCAGTAGCACCTTTAGAAATTTATTTCCTTTATTCAGTTTTATTTATACAGGGTCAAATCACAACAACAGTCACTTCAAGGTGCTTTATATTGTAAGGTAGACCCTGTAGGGTACATACAGAGAAAAACCCAACAACCATATGACCCCCT